GCTCTTGTTGAGGATCTCCATAAGCTGTTCAGCGTTAATGCTCTTGGTCCTCTTTTCGGCTTTGGATTCAAACAGCTTGTCAACAACCGCGTCCTCATTCTACCCGGAGAAGAAGGAGAAGATATTATTGCCTAAATATGACCCTCCTTCAAATGACTGTTTTTTAATTTTGCATAATGATGGGAGGCCAATAAGGAAGTTGATGGGAACCATAAATAGAATCATATCGCGAAGCTTTTATAAACGTAGGGCTAAGGCAAAACACAGGATCATCGGGATCCCAGTACACCTAGAGGACAAAATTCACAATTATGTCCGCTTGTGTCTGCCTAAAAGTGCAGAAATTTCTAAAGACGTTGAACGGCTTTGATGAGCCCAATGAAATAGAATATACAGTAAGACTTCAGAGACCTATCTGCTGATTTGATTAGAATTTTGAACATGCCAAATAAACTGCTATTTCGAAGCCGTGAAAAAGGCAAATAAAGGACTGCGTTTTTGTGTGGACAGCCATTCTGTGGGTCGCTAGAGCCTCATGAAGCCTAGTTTAGTTTACTGAAGCCCTTCCAACGATATAGCCCGGTTGATCTACCTTACAAGCCGAACCATTTGTACTTTGGCTGGTCTATGTGTTTAGTATTTTAATTATTTTTTTTTCTCGATGTATTTCGTGTCCCCCTTCTTCTGCTGCCAGTTCTCGTTCTGCATATTAGATGAATTGTAATTATCTACTGAGTGCTCTAGTGCCTGACGTCAATTTTTAGCTTTATGAAAAATCTTGCAGAAAGAGGCCAAATATATCAGAGTTTGCGGACTTTCAGAGGAGTCGTACTACCTGACTGAAACTGTGAGATATTTAAGGCCCTCAAATGATATAATGAGGGGATGCTAGATTGTGAATTTGACCCAAATTATCCCTATTTATTAATTTTAGCAAGTTTGATCAGTGGGATGAACGCTTAACCAGCGAAGATAAAATAAGGGCAAACTTAACGAGACTTAGACGCACCTTGGATGCCTCTTCTTCCTTGAGAGCCTTGAGAATATCCTGAAAAATGCGCAGTATGAAGACACGTTAGCAAAGCGAAACTTATTTTGAGAAAAATCATGGCTTACCGTTAGTTATTATAAAATAAATATATATAAAATATTCTGGTATCATATACTTAAATATCTAGCTAGTGGCTGACTATCATACTGCTAAACCATGAGTGGAGCCATCGCTGTCTCTGTCCCACTTAAACTCCTCTTCTGAAATATAGATTTGGATATGGGGTGGCGCAGCTTCAATCAGAGGATCTATGTGGTTGGGTAATGGTCAGGTTTAACGTAGATGGTCCATTATATAAAGAGGTAAGACCGAGCCTTAAAAGGTTTGTGCGGAAGGCTTTGCACCCATGTTCGCGCGTCATTTTCCCTCGGAAACTCAACAAGGCAAGGGAAATGCTGGAAGACCCACCGATGAGCCGAAGCCCTCGCAGCTGTGTCATGCAGCGGCACAAGATCGGCGAAATACGCGTGTCTAGGCTTTAAGCTAAAGCACTTGTGTTGTCAGTATGCTGGATAATTACGTACCCTAATAGCACAATTTAAGCGATCGAGATTAGATTCGTCGTGTAAAAATCAGAGCTAAAGTTGATTGGTTGCTAGACTGCTCGCATGTGTCGTTGTTAAGCCCGCAAGTGTGTTCGCGCACAGCTATTGGAAAATCGATTTCCCTTTGCGCCGAGCGGCCTCCTCACGTCTGGGCACGCCATTTGGTGCCCTCTGAGACTGCTGAACGGTCGGTTTCCTGCCTGGACGTTTCTGTTGGCCTACACATCGTAAGTTGTGCATCTATTGTATTTTTTTCAGCATGTTCAAGCCTGTATCGAGGACTACCCGTTATAGGCGTATGAAGTAAGTGCTTCAGGAACATGTGGTAAAATTATTGACCAATTTGACGAGGTTTTCGCGTCTGACGCATCTTCGTCGGGCTGGAGTATAAGATCCTCTTCCTCCTCTTCAGTAACTGGGGTTGTCCCCCACCTATCGTCCTCATCCATAAGCGACAGCTTGGTGTTATTAACTGCTGCTGTAGGAATCCTCTTCAGATTCCGGGAGTGTTATTACAATGCCCTCGGGGTCCTCCCCCATTCCCATGTAAGCACTCAAACTAATGCGTACTTATTCTTAGAAAGAGGTCGCAAACGCCGCCATAGGAAGCGGCGGGACGGGGGCTCGAATAGGCGAATCAGAAAGTGTTTAAAGTGGATAGTGAAGAATCTAGTTTATCTAATGCGGTATGCAGTAATGGAAGAGGACCGTCAGGTTCGCATGGAAAACCTGCTGGAGCAACTAGTGAATGGCCAAGTACAGACAGCGACTGGGACACCTGCCCCAAGTCAAAGTCGACTTATCCCAAAAGTGGCATCATGGACTGCTCTGATGGAGTTTAATCAGACCTTGTCTGATACAGAGTATCGTAACCAAGTGGTAAGTGCCCCCGTTCTGTAAACCAAAATTACTAGACCGCATACTTTGCCAACTTCGACGCAAATGATGTCTTGGCCTACGTTGAACGGGGCTTCAAGACCCTATTCACCGACAACATTACAGAGGGAATGACATTGTACAACAGACAAGGCGGAAAAAAGGCTTTTTGCGGCACGGACGCTTATAATGTCATACTAAGTAATTTATGATAATTTACCTTTAACATGCCATCCTTCAGATGCTTACACAATTGCTCGCGGATCCCCTGCAGTGGACCGCAAAAACTTCGAGGAGGCCTTCAAGACCACCTTTCGGAAGGCCTACGACCGCAATCTAAAGCGGGTCTTAAGAGAGGCCGCTGAGAGGTCAATTGCCGGTAATTCAACGCAAATAATTACGTCGTCATTAATATCCTCCTCTGCAAACTATAACCTATTTCTATTTTTAAATTTCAGAGTCCAAGCCAGAACCTGGCCCTTCCAGTGAGATTTGACGTACCCCAGAACAACTGCGCAGAATTATTTTTAGACTTATTTTTATAATATTTCCAGTTTCATAAAGTTTTGTTTTATATAAGACAGACTTCAAAAAAGTGCTTCGCGACATATCGTACGAATGGGGGTTTTTCGCGAGAGGTTGGTGTCCCGCTATCGAAATAAATCTGAGATACGAATTTTCGTACGACTTCCTGTTTCGAATATGTACAAAAGTCCATACGAAATATTCGTGCATTTTTGGTAACTTCGTGGAAATTCGTGGCCTTTTTGCTATTAGGGTAGGGTATACTTCTAACTGCGTGTAGACAGCTTCTGCATATTCCTCGCTTATTCCGCAGTAACCGATGGATTTCAACACAGATATGCCTAATAGCTTTCAGACACAGCTAAAGGAGGGTTGATTCCGAAGGATTTACTCCAGGTTTGCGCATTAATTCCCTCTGAAATTAAACAAGGCTGTAGTTGGTTTGTCGATGGTAGCTACGACCTCGGTTTGTGAAACACAGGTGTTTCAGCAGCCACCGCATTGGCTGTTAGAATACAGCCTCGTTCCTAACGAAGGCTGCGCACATATTACATTCACGGCAGCCTTCTTACAACAAAGCAACTTAGAGCACTGAATCTGTCCGCTTTCTGTCCTTTAGCCCTGGGCACACAAAAAGACAGTAAATAATCGCCCCGGTTCCCAGTAATTCCCTTTATAATTAGTCATTGGTTTTCTACCTAATTTGGTTACTTATACAGGATTTTGTTTGTTTAACTCACAAAGGAATTCCTTGAACTCTTTACTGCGGTCGGCACTGATGATGGCTTCACGCCAGAATCCGAAACTTCAGGCAACTAAACATATTGTTCAAGCGATCGCATTTTATACTTCTGAACTGCTCCTTGGAACCCGTCTATCCGCTTCTATCAGCATTCCATGTAGAGTTTGCTAAACCGCGGCCCTGTACACCGCTGGCTGGAGCCATCGCTGTCTCTGTCCCATTTTTGATCGTTTTTCACTAAAATTACGAAATATTGATTTGGATATAGAGTAGAGTAGCTTTATTCTGCGGATCTGTGTGGTCGAGTAATGGTCAGGTTCATCGTAGATAGTCTATTAAACTAAGAACTAATACCGAGCGTTAAAATGCTTGTTTGAAAGGATTTGCTCGCAAATTCGCGCATTATTTTTCCTCGGAAATTAAACGGGGCAAGGGAAATGCTGGGGGACCCACTGACGAGCCGAAGCCCTCGCAGCCGTGTCATCCAAGGATACAAGATAGGTAAACTCCACGTATCTGGACCTTTAGGTGGTACCTGCCCTGTCAGTATGTTTAGTAAGCACACATTTATGAACTTACCGACTCTACTATTATTGCTTTGAAATAGTATATACAGGAAAATAAATAATTCAGAGTTAACTAAAAAGGGGGTGAAAAACTTACCGGAGCCAAGCCTTTAAGTCCGTTCTTGTCGTCAGATTCACTAAAAAATCAAAGATCGTGTGTTTTTGAGCAGTCTAACAATATTAGTTCAAAAACAAGGAATAAGGCTTAATAAAATGAAGTCCTCGGAACCGACAGAAATGCCAGTGTGTACGAAAGATAGGCGCGTCCACCAGTCTAGTAAGGCGATAGTCTGATAAAGATGCCGACAAAATACAAACCTGAGTCCAAAAGTGAATACGCTGAGCCATAACTCATTCAAACTGTACTTTAAACCTGTTAAATTATTCGAGTTCCCCGCCATAAGCCCATTGGTAGATGGACTATCGCTGACTTACTGACTGACATCATATTGACCGTATCCTAGATGTTGCGGTACCCCAGAGTTGGGCACGGCTGGCTGAGGACGGCTAATAAGCCCGAAATTGCCATTCCAGTTGCCCTCGTCTTTGTCAGTAATAGCCTTCTGCCTACTTCATAAGCTGCTGTGAGGCTACTAGGGGAGTTCGAGAGAGAGAGAGTCCCAAGGTACAACGGCACGCGTGAGTCCTATAACCAATCGGTCAGTGCCTATCTACCACTATAAAGCACAACTGATGGTAGTAATAAAAATAACGCGTCACACAAAGACGCAACATCAGAAAACGAAGCAGGAAACTTACGCCTCCTTAACCGGCACCTCTGTGAAGACGCGAAGCAAGAACTTCCTTTCCTCATTCGGCTTAAAAGTGCTCGGAAAGATCATGTAGGTGCCTGGTTTGACCCTCAGACGCTTCACAACCTCACGAGTGTTGGTGAATTCAGACATGGCCAAAGGTCTGTTCATTGTGAAGAATCCTCGCTTCATCAGACCCTCAGAGCTGGGATCAAGCTGGGAACAAAAACAGACAGTTGGAGGAGAAATGGACAAGGGATCTTAAAAACAGTCAGCCATGCAAGCTCACTCCCGTTTAGAGATAAACAAATATCGTTAAATGATGATTAAAAAATGAAAGCCGATCAGATGCCTTTCTTATAGACCCCAGTATAGGCTTGATAGTGAAGTGGCAGCAAGACAAGAGTAGCAGATCAGAAGAGGGGTCTTACCTCGTAGACGGAAAAACCGATGGTCAAGTTTGATTCGCCCGATTTACGAGCGCCCATCTGCATTAGACCAATAGTGACGGTACAAAGCTCGTCGTCGTCAGTTGGATCAGAATCAGTCACAGTGATTCGGTACTGAGGGTTTGTCCAGTAGGTATCTTTAATAAAATGTCACCGAAAAAAGAACACTCATTCATGAACTAAGCGTTCTGGTGCATATATATGCAGAGAGGAGGAGTGACAGAAAATGCGGGTAGATTGATGTAGGCTGGTTCGGGTTTACTCTGCCTTCGTTCAGCCAATCATAACTCTGAATACCAGCTTAGACTGGAAACACAAGTATGCGCCTGAGTACGGCACGGATAGTCCGAACAGTGGGTCACACAGATGGGTCAAGCGAATAAAAGAGTTGTCCCAGCGATCGAATCTTCGTCGTCGTCGTCGTCGTCGTCGTCTTCTTCTTCTTCTTCTTCTTCTTCTTCTTCTTCTTCTCAGGCTTCTTGAAACTTAAAACCTTCGGCCTTGAAACCAATGTCAACCACCGCCTTACGTTTGTGCAATCCAATTGTGGCGAACCGGATTTCCAGTAGGGTTTTCGGTTAGTGTCTACAGATTCCCCTATAACCAGAATCGTCCAGTTGTGAGCAGTGCCTGCATGCTCTTAATCCCGCGATCCCATAAGATCTCCTCTGTGGACAACATGTTTTAACTCACTGCCTATCCCGTCAGTATCACAGT